GAATATCAAAATGTCTCGGTCTCTTTTCGGAGTTACTGTCTTTTTGTTTTATGTATGTATGTGGTATGTATGTAATTTAAATAAATGCTTAAATTGTAAAAGGCCAAAACAAAATTGATTTTACTCTAGGGTTCCCTATTTGTTTTGTACAGTTGAGGCTTGTCAAGTGACAACCACGTACCTGTTCTGCTGACATTCTGCAGAATAGTTAATAGCTTTATTATTAATATATTATCCCTAATAGTTGGCATAAAACAGGCTTAAAAGATACATTCTCTGTCTACACCATACACATTTGAAGTTATTCATTTTTACACAACAGCAGGCTTAGCAATGCTATCATTATAATGGCATCCAATGGCCAGTGGTCAATTTCTGGTGGGGAAGTTTCCTATGGTTTTTGCTGTATATATTATTTATTATACAGTGGTTTACCATGTTACAAGATGTTTAATGTGAATGATGATGTGTTCATGCTTTTATGGATGGCTTTTTTAAGATAGTAATTTTAAGTTTACAACTTGTTTTATATTGCTAATAAAATATATATCATTTTAGGGCTCACCAAGAAGGAGTCGCAGTCCATCGCGTACATTGAGCCCAAGAAGTAGAAGTCGTTCGCCAAGCCCAACCAGGAGAAATAATGGTGGTGTCACCCCAAGTGAGATTTCAAATTTTAGATTATATGCATTAAAATTTTAACTTTTGACATGTTTTTGCAGGTTTTTACATTTAGTTCCTTTATATAATCTTATCTATATAGGCCAACAAAATCAATTTTTTTTTAAATACTCATCCAATTGAATAAAAATAACCCACAGAGGACAACAACTTTAGACTAATTTGTAGGGCATCTGGCAAAAAATAAAGATTGGCCTAAATAATAATAATTCTGGATTTATATAGCGCCTCACATTGATACAACCTCGAGGTGCTCAACAACAACAAAGAAAAAAAAAATTCACTCACATATTTTTTAATTTGTAAAGAAAGAAGCTTTTTTAAAGTTTTTTTTTTTGTTGTTCGCCACTATTTTTTTCATTGAGTTAGGGATGGGTGGAGGCCTAATCCTGATGTGTTTTAGTTCCTTTCTATTGTTATGTATATAATCTTGATGTGTTTATTTTTGTAGGCATTATGTCTGGTTCCTATCTATCCTAGTGCCTTTCTGGGTAAGTGTTTGACTACAATATCATATAATCAGAATATTAAGTGAAGCTGCAGCTTTGTACTTAAGATACCCTCTTAGTTATAGAGTTTCTTAAGTCAATCTCGATGCTAATTTAATAGTATGGTCTCTTATGTCTGGTTCCTATCTATCCTAGTGCCTTTCTGGGTGTTTACAATAGAGTACCACAGTCATGTCGTCATGACGCCAGGTGGCACTCTCTGTTGCCAACAGACGTTGGTTACCGTTCATTACGCCTAAATGACTTCAAAGACTTTCTGGAATAGGCATTTTAAAATCTAATATTCTACCATCAAAATGTACTAAAAACACAAAAGCTCGCATTATATTAATTTTTAGAAAATGGCGCCCGGTTGAACGCTTTTTGCAACGATAGCAACGGAGTACTATCACACGGTATCGTGACGTAACACTAGTACTCTATGTCAATAATATCTATATTTTATTATACTATTATATTATTATTATTATATTATATTATATCTATAATAATAATAAGTGAAGCTGCTCTTAGTTATGCAGTTTCTTATGTCAATCTCAATGCTAATTTAATAGGATGGTCTCTGTTATTTAATTGTATGCATAGCAAGAATATTAATGGATATCATATACTGCTATATGGGAGAACCAGGCTAGTGTACAGTATGTTTATTTTTCTTTTTTTTTCAGCCAGGTGAACATCCATTAATGGTGATGGCAGAATACGTACATACTGTACATGCAAGGAAAAGTGCTGGATTTATTATAAACATGAATGTAATACTGTAGCTGATTTAGAAA